GAGAGGAGGAGGAGGAGAGAGAGAGGAGAGAGAGGAGAAAGAAAGAAAGAAAGAAAGAAAGAAAGAAAGAAAGAAAGAAAGAAAGAAAGAAAGAAAGAAAGAAAGAAAGAAAGTCTTTTGTGCTTGACTTTTATTACTCCGTATCTGTTTCTTTTCTTTTATTAGGTTGTTTGTTTGTTATTGGATTTTGGGATGTTTGTTTGGGATTTGATGGGATGGTGGATGGTGGATGGTGGATGGGTATTACGGAACGGAATGGGATTTGGTCGTTGTGGATGGATGTGTGATTCATTTAGGAATATCAGTTGAGTGAATGTTGGAGGGAGAGGAGAGGGGGGAGAGGAGAGGAAGTAGAGAGGAGTTGTTGTGTAAGAGTGTATAGGAGAGGAGGGAGGGCTGCTTTATTGTTTTCTTACGTATGGACTTGATGAAGAGGGGATGAGTTGTTGTTGTTGTATTTATTTACGTCGGGTGGGGAGCAGACGAAGCCTGCCGCCCTGGGACCTCCCATGGGGTACGGCGACGTGCTAAGCTAAGGAGTCACATACAAGAAGGCCCCAGAACGCAGTTTTTCAAGGCGTTGCAGCGAGAGCTACTATTGTCTGCGCCCTTCCCCTACGGATAGGATGGATCACAGTGAGAGAAAATCTCTCGTCGAGGGAAAACCACAAAAGAGAGTCAAGCAGGTACAGACTGCTGTAGCCAGCTTGTAGCATGGCTGTGCGAGTCGCATAACGACCAGTGTCAAGGCCGGACCGGGGTCAGCCGAAAAGCACTTTCAAGTGCCGAAGCTACCTAGGTCAATCAGTTGGGTGGTTAGATAGAGGGGTCAATTCATAAGCGAGGTCTGTTTGTTTATGACCTAAGCGAAGCGAAGGGGATCCACCAATCGCTCCCGACCTCCAAACCGCCGAAGCTTTGCTAAGAGGGAATTGGATCTTGTATAAAAACGTGGCGAACCAGCTCGATCCGTCCGCGAATCGTGCCCAGAAATATGCCACACGTAGATCAGTGGCCCTCCGAAAAACTTAAAATGTGCAGACCCGGTTTTCCGCGTACCGAACTTCACCTCTGTTACGCCCTTCACAACACAAAATTGCAGTTGCAGGTGAGAGGAGAACTGATCACATTACCGCAGGTGATCTACCAGTCCACCAAGGCCTACTGAGTACCCTCTCAGTCCATGCCCGTACCCATCAAGAACTCCTCCAATCTCCTTTCCCACCGTCTAAAAAAGCCCCGGATATCAGTACAGTTTATACAAAAGGCCTTACATGCGAGCAAGCCTTGCTCCTCTCAAACTCCACCTTCCAACGATCGCGTCACTTCAATAATTTCCGTCCCGCAAACCTCGCTTTCTTGATCTTAGGCGGCATACTCGCCCGCTTCAGCGCCTTCGCCTCCTTCGTCGTCCGCTTCCCAATGTCCCAGCCCCATCCCCGCAGCATCTTGACGACTTTGGGCGTGATGGCCGCTGTGATGGGGACTCGGATGAAGATGAAGGATTTATGGATTGCGTAGGCGAGCGCTAGCTGGGTTGCGAGACCTGTTTCGTCAGACGTCAGCAAGGGGGAGGAGGTATGACAAGTGAGGGAAAGAGAGGAAGTAGGGAGACGTACTAGCATCTTTCTTGTTCTTTTCCGTCGCCTCTTCGACGCCCCAGCCGGCCATTTCGACGCCTTCGCTGATCAGCTCTCCACCTGAAATCTCCTGCTCGGCTTTCTTCATGGAGGCGCGCCACTCATGCCAGAATTGCTGGATCGAATCGGGGATTAGCTTTTTAATATTCGAGAGTACTATCTCTTCCCATCGGCCTAGAGAGTTTGTTAGTGTTTTACTTCTGGAATACGAGAGGTAGAAATGGCAGTTTGCAGTGTCAGTAGCCGCTGGTCTAGCCAACGAAAGGGAATCTCATGATAGCCAGGCTCCAGATGGGGAAAACGCAACACATGTAATGGCTTCACTCGACTTGGTGTAATAGGTCATGCCAATTGTCTGTTCCCTCGGCAGAAAGATGCCCAGAGACGTATCTGTTCAAAATTGCAATTGCCGAACTTATGCCTTGGCAGTTCTTAAATCGGCCTCTCTCCGTTTCTAATTCCACTTTGGGCTTTTGCCAGCTCAGGGTTAGGCTCAGGCTGGGGATTTCGGACCTTGGGAGTATGTTTCGTTCGAATGGAGCTTTGCAGGTTCCAAAATTTTCCAGTAGTCCAAGCCCAATTCCTGCGAATTCCTCCACAGCCGCCGATTTTTTTTTTTCCTTATAGTATCTTCAGATATGCGATCCGGTGATCTCTGGTCGCAGCTAACATACCCTCGATTTTGCGGTCCGTCCAGGGTTCGATGGCTCGTATTTGTTGGTCCAGTATCGGCGAATGCCGCTTTTCCTCTGCAATCCCCACCATTCTAATTCCCAAGAACAGACACTGCAAACTGCTCCAAAGAAAAATTCCACTCACCAATCCTATCCGTGCCCAAATTCCTAACCAGCAAATAACAAAACGGAAAGTCCAGCGCGCTGAGCAGAAAATATACCCCCACCGCAGACCACCCATACTCTCTGCCCAACTTCTTCATTCTGCCCCCCAAAGTCGTAGGTTCTGCTTCCGCAGCCGCAGCCTTACCTCCCGGAGACCCTAGCATCTCTGTCACATTCGGAGAAACCGGCTTGCCATTGTTGGTTGCTTTCCGCCGCGCCCGCGAGTTGTGCAGGGATCGAAAGGAGTTGCGGAGGCGTTGGAGAAGCGAAGGATTGTGGAGGGAGGGCCGTCCGGAGGAAAACGTGAAGCCGGTGCCAGGTGAAGGGGAGGTGCGTGCTGAAGAAGAGGTGTAGGTTCTGCGGGCGAGCGTGCGTAGGGGAGTCGTCTGTAAAGTGGAAGGTCGGAAAGGAACTCTGCTGCTGAATATGGGCAAGCGGAGGACTCCTCGAGATGCGGTGGGAGAAAGGCCGGTTCGTACCATCTTGAGGGAATGGCGGGGATCCTTTGTTGAGAGGTTGGAAGGAGGTATTGCGCGAGAGAATTATGCCGCGCCTTTGAATTCGCAGAGAGTCCTAACTTCGAATAAGATCCCAGACTTCTCGTTCCCTTTGCTATTCGAGTTTTCCGTCCGTTCTGTAAAGGTCTAGGTCTTCTGGGCAGCTGTTTGTAAACCTTTGCGACTCAAATCCCACGGTTTTCGCAGTGCGTGGACAGCTCGTCAATCGAATGTTCGAAAAGACTGCAAAGTATAGAATATTAGGAACTCATCACCGCTATCTTTGGTGCCGGATGAAAAGGAAGTTGTAGATAGGTGAGATCGTGGCCTGACAATGTTGAAAAATTGTCGGCGGAGTTTTTCCCGTTTCCAGGGGAAGCTCTTCGGGATTTCTGCAAGGTGATGGAAGTGGGGCAGAATTACGACACTTCTTCGGCGAGTGCTGCTTTGAGCCACAAGGCAGCCAGCTAAGGCGGCAAGAGGCAAGCTCGGTTATGAAACTCAACAAACCTGAACACAGAACTCAACTCGTAATCAATGGGATGATCACCTGAGCTGTATGTTCTCAACACACGATGCATATGAATGAGTCTTCCAGAATAGGATATACCAAAGTCGTTTCTTCAAGCATGCCAGATTTATACACATTGAAGCATATCAAACCTCACCCATCACTACTTCTTATCCAACCTACGAAAGGTATTTGGTATCCGCCCAGCTGGTACACCCGCTTCCTAGAGCCGTCGAGATGGTAATAGCAGAGCTAGGCTTGGTAGCAAAGCTTGCGCAACCTTCCAAAGCACCCGTCCCAGTGTTTCCATACTCCACAAAAGCAACAGCATCGGTGCGATCGTCAGAGCTGCTCCAGAACTCCCATTCTGCGGCGTTTATGATAGAGCCCAGAGTAGTGCTTTGAACGACAACCTAACATACCCCGACCATGGTCGTCCAAGGTACACGGTGCTACGCCCGGCGGTCGAGCTGGGAGACTTGTCGATGGTTGACTTGTTGATCACATAGTAAGAGACGTCCGAAGATGTGGCTCTCCCGCTTGCGGCGATTCCTCTCGGGCATATTGTCCGAAGATAAAGTCGACGGCTCCCTCGACATAGCGATGAGCGTAGACCTGGTTGCCGACTTGGGCGAGGGAGTGTCTTGGTATCCGTGTAGACCAACACCGTAGTATCCCTGAGAATCTCCATATGCGGCTAGCGCGACTGCCTGGGAACCCTTGCCGTAGGTAATTTTGACGTGACGTTATATCATGAGGCGCCGACGGCCTCGTTGATGACAGTACAGGTAGCTCTAGAAAACGAAGGTCAGCAATAGCTGATGAATTGTATCGATATTCAGGGCACAAATACTAAAAATTTGAAAGGGGTAGCATATACTCGTCGTCTGCAGCACCAGAAGCAAGGCTGGAGCTATGTGTAATGGTAACAAAATTGATCGCATAGCTGCTCGTATCTGTCGTGTAGCCATAGATCTTGAGAGTCGCCTTCCGAGCTGGAATTATCACTTGCTCCTTGTAAGTACCAGCCAGATTGAAGATGCTTTGAGCGGTGGTAGATGAAGTGGAGAGAGAGTCGACGGCAGCTTGGATCTACCACAGCTAGTAAGATTCCATGATTGACACTTCATCAGCATCTTCTTACGGTGGAATAAGTTCCCCCGGGTGAAACAGTAATGGCACCAGAGGGCGCTGTAGTCTGTCCAGCGGAAAAAACAGCCGATACGAAGGCGCTGAGTGAAAGAATGAAACGCATGATGCCAGATATTAGCAAGAGTATGTAGGTGATTGGATCAAACGAAAAGTAAACAAACGGACTTGACCAAGAAATCAGCGAGGAACGAATAGTAACCTAGTCTTTAAGACGAAGAGGCCTCACTTCAATGAAGAATGGCTGGTATAACATATTCCCGTCAGGCTTGATTGCTACCTCGTTCAGTTGCAAGTGGCGCGGGACTCGATGCCAAGGCGAACGTGTCAAAGGACTAATCCTCAAAGTCTCCTTGGGATATTTCCTTTAGATCTATGCCAGTATAGCGAAAGCGTCTTTAGTATCTTGTAAGCATAAGAAGTATGTAACCATTCACTATTTCAGCTGTTTAGTGCTTAGCGTTGGCGGGGTCAAATTTTCTCTCCTATATGTCCTTTTCCACCTTGTAGCCATTGTGCTCTGGAATCAGCGACATTGTATTGCTTGAATGTATGTCGTTTCCTCCAGATCTATGAAATAAAGTGTAAGACTCCGAAGCTGGCAGAGAGATGTGTGAGATTCCGAAGTTACTCAGCGAAGAGGTCGAAAATTGGCGTTTGAATAAAAGATTCCGTTTGTTTGATCTCTGGACATCTTTCCCACAGCTGATTTGTATGGCGAAGAAGGTCCAAGTATTCCAGGTAGCCTGATAGACGCAATTGAGCAGTACCGAGTCTCTGAATTCGTGTGTGATATGCAAAGACAAGAAGCTATAGTCGTTTAGCAGACAGCTAGCTGGAAAGTAGGAAGAGATTCTCCTATGGGGAATACTCGTCCTTTGCTTCCAAGCAGTGTATCTCTTCTAAGGTTACTTTGCTGTTCTGTAATTTGCAAAGTACGAAAAGGAAAGCCACTGGCAAGCATCCCCTTTCCACAAGAAATATCACATAAGATCGACTACGTCACTATAGACTGCCGCTGTATGCTGGAAGCTTTGGACGGTGGACGCGGATAGATAGAATTTGCTACTAAGCATGATCAAATTTAAATTAATATGTCCTGCAACGTAGCGTAGCCACTTTAGCTTTCGCATCTATTCTCATTTCTATAGCTGTACAATCACGTCATGTCTGTCTTCATGGAGTATTTCGCCCCTCTGCCACTCGTTCCCTCCCCTTACTTATCGCTTTCCACCTTGGCGCTCTCCATCTCCCACTTCTCCATTCCCCACCTCTACCACGTTCCTTCCTCTTCTGTCAGTTTGGTTCCTTCATCACTAAATCTTTTTGTATCAACAACACCACGAATTTAATAGTGGTATACCGGTAACCAATCAGATCGAAGGTTGCTGATAGCAAAGAAGATCCTTGAAAGAGGACTGACAAAAGACGAAGCAACGTGAATTAACCTTCTTTCGTTTCAACAATATCACGATACGCATAAATCTTTAATATCCAATCGGTTAATTGATCATAAGATAGACTCCCAACTAGTACGTAGTAGTATGTTGTGAAGGTAGTACATCTCTACACCCCCACCCCCTCCCGCCACCCTTAATAAAGGACAGACCTAGTTTAGCTTACATCTCGTAGAGCGGTGGTTTTTGAATGGCTTAAAGCCTTGTCCACTTTATTGCACAGATTCAATACTTGTTGAAAGATACTTTTTCAAAGCTGAATCGTTAAAAGCTTATTGATTCAAGCCCTCTTGAGAGCCCTTGATTCAAGCCCTTGTAAGAGCCCTCGAAAAATTATGCTTTCATCTTTTATTTAAGGGGGGAGGCGGGCGGGGAGGTAGGGGGGAGAGGCGATTATTGATGACAACGAAGCAGCCTCCTGTCCCGCAAAACCTAATACTATACTATCCCCCCCCCCCACAATTAAATGTCGGATAAAGTCTAGGCTATAAAGCCCAAGGCTAAATAATAGGGGTTTGAAAGGGTTCGAAAGTCTGATATCCTGAGAAGGTATAATTTTTGCGATGGCTTTGGTCGCTAGGTTTTCGATTTCAGTCACGACACCCTATGCGCATGATTCAGATTGTTTAAGTGTAACCGCGTCAAAGATTTACGTAGTAGATGGTGGCGCGAGATCGATTTTAAATTTTGCACGAAACTACGGAACGCTATCTTCAAGTATTCTAGAAGAAAGTACATCAAGTCAATATCTTGCACAGAAAAGAAGGGTATTGAAGTGTAAACAACCATAAGATTTCAATAGGTTATTCTAAAAAAATCTTTTGCTTTACTACTTCAATTGATCTTGTTTCTATGTCCAGATATTTTCAACCTAGCGTAAGGATCCAATTTTTTCTATCAATACCGAGGAGGAGTTGCATCCACATAAGGTCAAAAGGTGGAGGGCTGCAGAAAAATGGTGGGGTCGGTCAAGTTATCAAGTCAGTTCCGGTGATAAAATGATATACCGGTACAGTAGCAAAGAAAAGCTTATTACGGAAATAGATTTCAGTTTACAAAGATATAAAGTATCTTCTACACGGGCTTTAAGAACCTCGGTACAATTTGTATGGGGATACTAAAACTCGTTTTCTGCAATCCAATTTTCAGACTCTAAAACCTGGTGGACCCAAACGCGGTTTCAACGCTCAGATTATAGTTGTACTAGTACTAGTACGTAGCACTAGTACGTAGTAATTGTACAACACCGCATACTGTAAAACTTGACAGAGTGGCGCGTAGGGCTGCCGATAGCGTCTAATCTCTGTTTCTCAAATGATCAATGAGTTAACTGCGCAGATGTCCAGATGGACCCCGAAAATCACGCTGGCGCCATAAATTAATATATACCTCCAACCAATTAGAAGTCACGGGAGGCAGTATGCGTCGATCCTGTCAAGTCAACAGCCCCCACGCGCCACTTTGTCGAGTTTATGCGATACATGCTTAAAGATAATATTTTCAAAAAGCTGAATCGTTCAGGTGGTATACGGAAGTTCATTAAGTAAGATCAGCATCCAAATTCCATCCCAACCCGGGCTTAGAAGCAGCCACAAAACCCTCTCTTCCATCAGGGTTACACTTTAAGGGTCCGAAACAAGGTCCCCTTATGAATAATACATTTGCAAAAGGTATAATTTCGCAAGGGCTCTTACCAGGCCTTCAACCAATCAACTTATTGGGATTCAGCCTCGAAAATCATCTTTGAGCCAGTATTTAGTCTATACAGTGGAGTAGACTGCGCTTTGAGCCATTCAGAAACCGCAGTTTTACGATTTATGGGGCAAAACTATACTCTGCACATGTATTTATAGTAGCACTTAGGAGGGGACAGTATCATTGCCCCCCTCTCCTACGTACCGTATGAATATAGGACGGAGTCGTTCAGATGCCGTTTAGTAAACCTGGGGACTCGGAACTCGGTGCTCGGAACTCGAAACTAGGAATTACGTAGGAGCCTTGGAAACGTGTTCCGAGAATTTCTAGGACCTGATATTCCATTCCAGAACTTCGCAAAAAAAAAAAAAATTAACCCTTCGTTTGAAGATTAAAGTGTGATCGTTAATGCCGACGTTCCTCCGGTCAGGTGTAAAAGAAGGGATCCTTGAGAATTCACAAGTTTATATATATTAAGTATGAGAGGAACTCGATCAGCTTTATTTAGAGTTTCTTTTTTGGTGGCGTGCGGTAACACCTTATACTACGTAATTTTCCTACAGCGTATGATCTGCGATTAGAATAGGGGTTTTCGAGCGGAAGCTAGAAAGTCCGCGGGCTCAAATAAAAGTGGAGATCAGGGACTAGGAATTATGGGGTTCTCGGAATAGGCAGAGGGCTATTTTCTGGTTTCCTAGTTTCGAGGGTCGTTTCCTACTAGTTTTCCTAGTTTCAATCCCTTCCCCTTCCAGGTTCGTATTACTAGAAACGGGTCGGAGTAGGTACCAAACACCGATTATGTAAAATAGTAGTCGAAAATAGCTCGGAAACGCGACTATGACGCGTTACCAAACGGACCCTTAGCCTCATAGATCGTAGACCGGTGGTTTACTGAATGCCTCAAAGCCTTGTCCATCCTCTTGCACAGACTGATTACTTGCTTATAGGTACTTTTCGAGGCTGAATCGCGATAGGTTTACTGATTCAAGCTCCGACAAGAGCCTTTGCAAAATTATACTTTCGCTCTTGATTCATAGGGTGGGATAGTATGGGAAATAGGATTTTTGAAGGTGTTGAGGTAGCCTCTGGAGAATTGGACAAACGTCCTATTGGATCGGAAATAAAAACAGAAGTTTGTTAAATACTTTGCAATTATGTTTGAAAGGCATTTTTAACCTTCTTTCCTTGACTTTTTTCTCGACCATTAGGTACCGATTTCATGGATTCTGGTTCAGATATAAGCGAGGCGGAGGCACAATTCACAGCCTGGTGGAATAAAAGCTTACAGAAACAGGGAGGACCTAGCCCTAGGGTGTAACACGTAGGCATGCTCCAAGGTATAATCGATGTGATTATACTTTACAGCAGGGTCCATTTGCAAAAGCTTCTCCGTTGTAATCAAGCGCGTTTACAATTAGATAAGTCGACATCAATGCGATAGCCGAAGTGCTTGAAAGCACCTAAGGATTAATGCGATAGCCGAAGTGCTTGGAAGTGGTGTACTTGAGGAAATAAGACGCCATGAGGAGGGGTAAGGGGAAAGGCGGCCCAGACATTATGGCTCGTCTAGCATGTAAGGTGATGTCGATAATATCAATAAGGTTTGGAAAAAAAAAAGTTTGTCAGGTTTGAAATATATCGTCGATGATGTCGTTAGTAAGTATCGATGATATGGAGAATGTCGATGATGTCGGTGATATCTAAGGTTTGAAGGTCAGCTCGTAAGGTTAGAGTCTAATCACTCCGACCAATACGGAGTATACGTAGTATTAATACAAATATTTGTAGCAGATAGGAAGAACAAGACGGGGGGAGGGTTGGGAGTTGGAGGTTGGCGCGCGTAGTTTTAATAGTGGTGATAGTGGTGATAGTGGTGATAGTTGTGATAGTGGTGATAGTTGTGATAGTTGTGATAGTTGTGATAGTTGTAATAGTTGTAATAGTTGTAATAGTTGTAATAGTTGTAATAGTTGTAATAGTTGTAATAGTTGTAATAGTTGTAATAGTTGTAATAGTTGTAATAGTTATGGTTTTAATAAGAACTCGAAAATCAATATCAACGCAAGTGCCAAAATGTTAATACTACGAGCCTGGTTGTGCAGTCGCTCAATTGCGGCAGTACCCGTTAGCGTAGGCCATAGCTTCGTAACCATTTTCCTCTTACTACGTACAATCCAGCTACTTACAAGATCATGACTTCGTGACTTAAGGCATAACGGGCCTTGAAGCCGCGGAGGCTACCAAAGGGAAAGAGATAGACTTAAACACCAGAACTTAGGAGAATTAACCATCGCACTTTGTTGAGGATAAACGCACTTAGTTGTACTACTATCAATCACTAAGAAGTATCTCTCCTCATACTAGAGTTCGCGTGACCCCTACCGTATAAACTCACACAGTCGGCGTGCCCCCCCCCCCACACCGAGTTCAGCGGTGGCGTTTGATTTTTGAGTACTAATCAATAGCAAACCTAAGCCACTTGACTTAGATCCGTCACAGTAGATAGATTAATAATAAAACCAAATATTTGCCGCCCAACAATTATACGCAAACGCTGCTCGGAACTCAATGTAATAGAGCGCGCCGACTGTGTGAGTTTATACGGTCCTCTGGTTTAGCCGGGTTTCAGGAGTCATTAATCCCAGTTCCAACGGCCAAAGATTTCCCATGCCTCGACACTCAAAACTGAATGCCGCTTTACGCAGTATGCTCGACACCGTTTCCCTTGTACGGGTAAAGTAAAATAGAAGAGCCGGGCCGTAAAAATGGCCCGGCAGAAGTCGCAATCGAGGGGAAATAATGGGAAGGAAAAGGTGCAATTCGCCAAGTCGGCTTTGTGCAAGACCGCAGAATTCATTGACTATTCTCATAATCTGCAATACGCAAGACAATTTGTTTGTGTTCCTACTATCATAGCTAGTTCTCCTACAAGCAGAGCAAAAGCAAGACGTCGCTAGCTTTTCTAGCATTGACCTTAAGTCGCTCGAGAGGAGAGTCGCTTGATAGGAGAGCTGTTTAGAATAAAGAGGTGACAAAAGTCAAGCAATGATAAGGTTTCTTGTAATTGCTACACTCGGTACAGAGTTGTGTAAGCTAACTGTACGAGCCGCATGAGCAAACCTCTCACTGCATAGAGCGGCATTCAATTTAAGGTGTTGAGGTATGCGAAATCATGACCCACTACAGTATATTCGAGGCATACGGAGTACGGAGTATGAATTCTTTGGCCAATTCTACAGCGCTTGAGTGTTGTCCTTGGTCCAGAGCTTAGCTCAGTCAAGCTACGCAAGCTGGCTACTTGGATCTGTACCTCATTGGGTCGAGTTTGAGCTCCACACCAGGGACAACACCCAAACGCTGTACCTTTGTATATATATTGGCCGTTCATTCCCTCCAAATCTTCTATCTCCTCATATCGTTTTTCTAATATCTTACATACCCATTCGCTTATCATTTCAACCGAAATCTTTCGTCAACATGTTGCTTCCCTCGTTAAATACCTCGCTGCTGGTCCTCAGCGTTGCTTCACTCGTCTTAGCTGGCCCTATGCCCAAGACCTCGAAATCCAAGAACTCGAAATCTTCCAAGACTACGAAATCTTCCAAGAACACGCCATCTGTCAAGACCACGGCGAAGGTCGAGACCGCGGGTGGTTGCAAGGCCGCGGATATTTACCAGCCCACGGATGGTTATAAGACCACGGAACCTCCCAAGGACACGGATCCGTACAAGACCACGGATCCTCCTAAGGACACGGATCCGTACAAGACCACGGATCCTCCTAAGGACACGGATCCGTACAAGACCACGGATCCTCCTAAGGACACGGATCCGTACAAGACCACGGATCCTCCGAAGAGCTCGGGAGGTTCTAAGAACTCGGGAGGTTCCAAGAACTCGGGAGGTTCCAAGAACACGGATCCTCCTAAGGACACGGATCCTCCCAAGAACACGGATCCTCCCAAGAGCTCGGGAGGTTCTAAGAACTCGGGAGGTTCCAAGAGCACGGATCCGTACAAGACCACGGAACCTCCCAAGAGCTCGGGAGGTTCTAAGAACTCGGGAGGTTCCAAGAACTCGGGAGGTGCCTGCACTTTCACAACTGCTGCGGCTGCAATGTCCGGGAAGTCCAAATGTTCGAGTATTATCTTGGATAACATCAGCGTCGAGGGCGGTGTGACTCTCGACTTGACAAAACTTGCTGATGGAACTACTGTAGCTACCCCCCCCCCCCCCCCCCCCCCCCAATCTTCTGTTGACCAGTCCGCTCTAACGCTCTCCCAGGTCGAGTTCCAGGGTACGACCACCTGGGGGTACGAAGAATGGAGTGGTCCTCTCTTCTCCGTCTCCGGAAACAACATCGCCGTGTCCGGTGCCCCAGGACACGTTCTCGATGGGAACGGAGCGAAGTGGTGGGATGGTCAGGGCGGGAATGGAGGTGTTACTAAGCCCAAGTTCTTCTTCGCCCATAAGTTGACCGGATCATCCACCATCAAGGGCCTCAACATCAAGAACTACCCAGTCCATTGCTTCTCTATCAGCGACGCTGAGGGACTGACGGTTTCGGACGTGACACTCGACAACTCTGCCGCTGGTGCTTTGGGACACAACTCGGATGCATTCGACGTCAGTAAATCCAAGAACATCGTCATCTCGGGCGCAAAAGTCAAGAACCAAGACGATTGCCTGGCCATCAACTCGGGCAGAGGCATCACTTTCACCGATTGTGATTGCCAGGGCGGCCACGGACTCTCAATCGGCTCTGTCGGTGGTGCGTAGCCTCCGTTTCCCCCCCCAAACCAAAGCAGACCAACGCAAACAAGAGAAAAACTGACCCGCAACAGGACGTTCCGACAATGTCGTTTCCGACATACACATCTCCAATACCAGAGTTTCCGATTCGGAAAACGGCGTCCGCATCAAGACCATTGCGGGCGCCACTGGATCCGTGTCTGGCGTGACTTACAAGGACATCACCCTCTCTGGCATCACCAAACATGGTATTATCATCGAGCAAGATTACCAGAACGGATCGCCCACGGGTAAGCCCACAGCTGGTGTTCCCGTCACGGATTTGACGCTCTCTGGTATCTCTGGGACGGTCGAGTCTAGTGCTTTTAACATTTACATCCTGTGCGCGGCTTGCTCGGACTGGACCTGGTATGCTTCTCTCCAACCTACTACTGCTGCCAAACATGAGAACATAGCTAAGCAATCAACAGGACCGACATTAATGTTACGGGAGGAGGGAAGGCCAACAAATGCGTCGGTGTCCCTAGTGGTATAAAGTGTTAAGCCGAAACGCAAAACCAAACATGAGAGGATAATGCTTGCGAACGACTACATGGGCGGATAATGCTTGCGAACGACGACATGAGACGAATTATACATTTCCTTTTCACTTCCAAGAAGCCATTCGGTATGACCGCTAGGCGCAGGTCCGCGATGGATTTGGCTGAGCACTTGCTCATCTTCCACACTTCCTACCTTACTGTATATACTTTGCCCACTGGGCCCACAGGCACATATCCCAGGCGGATGCCGAATGTATTCAAGCTTCTCTTTTCCTCGGACATCAGATGCAAAAATGCGACCCGTGAAGTCGATGTAGTGGAAAGTTAAACCCGCCATATCGATGTCGGATGGTAAGTGGTCGCCCGCAGAGCTCACAGCGCCGTCGCTCCTCCAAATGCTTGTGCGCCGTAAATGCAGCCGTGATGATAGTCCCCCAAAACGCCGCCATTGCATGCATCTATCCCACCGAGAGATATCCCAAGTCGTACAATCATGAGCCCTCCCCTCTGCCCGCGGCCCAGACAGCACCTAACTCGCTTTCCCCTTCCCCTTAACCTTCGGCATCCTCTCATACGCATTCGGACTCCTCTTCCTCACGCCCCCACTCCCACTGCCACTCCCCCCCTCCCCATTCCCCTCTCCTCCATGATCATGGCCATGACCACACCCCCCTCTCTTACCTCCCTTGCTCCCTCTCTTGCCCCCACTACCACCACCACCACCAACCGGTCTCGCCCGCCCGTCATCCCCACTGTCATCATCACCACTACTACTACTGCTACTATCGTCGCCACTCGAGCTCTCATCACTGCTCTCATCCACCCCCTTCGGCGCATGGTAGATACAGCACACCTTGCTCTTCTTCCTGCCCAGCCCCTCATTGTCAACCACGTCTTCCGCCCACTGGATGCGCCGCCTCGCGCCTTCTGCTTCTGGTTCGGCTTGAGGCGCGCCGCGGAGGTGCAGCACGGCCTGGGTGCGCGGTTGCGTCTGCGTCTGTGTCTGTGTCTGCGTTGAGGATGTGGATGCGGAGGTGCGCAAGGAGGAGGAGAGTTGCGGCTGGGGTTGTTGGGTTTGGCCTGCCCTTGAACCACCGCCGGGAGCGCGCGATGTGGTTGCCATTTTTCGAGGGCGAGAGTATGTTCTTATTTCTGTGCTTTTCCCGAGGGAGGGCTGGGAGGATGGGGTTCCGTCCAGCTTTTGGAGTATGTCGCTGGTGGTGTCTGTGACGTGGGGTAGGTAACAAAAGAAGAGACGGCTAAGAGCGATGTGAACTTTGGGTTATGTCACAGTCGAAATTGTATGCCGAAGTGAAGCTTTTTGTCTCGCTGCTAGCATCAGGTCGTTGTTTATGTTCGTCCTGGTGGGAGGATATGGCTTTGGTCTTTTTGATGCGCGATCGAGATGGTGGAGGAAAGATGCTGGGCGGAATTTTGTTCCTCCGGGCAACATCAATGCCAAGATAAATTACTGGGTCAGGGTGGGCAAGAAAGTTATGCAATCGATCATGTTCGGTTGATCCCCAACTCTCCATTTCGAGTCAACTGAACTTGAAGTCATCGGTCATCACTGAATTCAAAATTGAAGATCCTCCTCTTGATTATCTTTCAACACGTCGTCGTACATGACGCCAGCGACAGTTTTATTGAGAAAAGGGGCTGTAAGCGAGGTACGCTCGTTCTATGGTAGGAGATTTGGTATACACCAATCGAGAAAAATTTCTTCCGTTACATATGTAAAGCCCAGTAGAAGGCTCGTCTGCCACTTCCGGCAACAAAGAGCTTCGATCATGGAGATAGATAGCTGGGAATTTTTTTTTTCCCACGGATGATTCAGAATTATGCGTATGAGATATCGTGTCTCTTTGGTCAGGATCATATACAGCCGTTCTGTTGGTGATTCCGAATTATGACTTCCTGCGCAAGAACCGCCACGATACTCTCCTTAAACAAACACACTCCTCGCACGGCATATTCGCGTTGATCGCATTCCTAAACTCAGCCCTCAGCACTGTTCCCGGCAACCTCGAACTATTGGGGTACTCCATATGCATTCGTTGACCATGCCTTCAATGACCGCTTCGTCTCGAGAGGAAACACCAAGATCTATATATTGTCAGCTTTCGCTGTCAATCTTCCTGCACTCGACTCAAGATTCAACCCATTTTTCTTTGGAAGTCCAAATCCAAACATCCTATATTATTCTCCCAATGTAAAACTTGCAGCCAGACGTCCCTTTGAAATTCTTACGGAATTTTCGAGGTACTTACTCTGTTTGGAGCTCGCGTATTTGCCCCTCCCAGTCGTCAATACTCAATAGAGCCCCGAGCGAACAGGCGGGCAGTATTGATTAACAACATCAAACATCGCTATATCCGCAAAATCAAAATCAGAGCAGCAATTCAGAGAGAGAGAGAGAGTTTCTGGGATAATACCACCACCGAGTAAGCAAGTTATTGCAAGCTTATCTTCCCAGGAAAATACACGAGACAATGGAGACGAACACTTGAAAATTCGATCACCATGGGCGGCACTTGATCCGGGCAAAAACAACATCAGAATTCAACTGTGCATATAGGAATTCTGGAACCTCCGATAGCTTTTCCAAGTAGCGCAACGTACGAATCGTGACTATTGGCAAAATCCTCTCTCTATGCTGCCCTTCGTGAATCTCCATCTTGCCGCATCCTTTCGAGAAAGACCCTCCCTCTCCTAAGCTAGAATCAGCGAACCCTTCCCATTCCAAAATACGCCACGATCGACCCCCCTCCGTATCATGCTGTAGACCAGCTGCCCCCTTGAGCTTCAACTCTCCCACCCCAAACCAGAACGTCTCCATAATTTCAATACCATGCCCAGATCTCATGTTCGATGCCTCGCACCAAATATAGACTTGTACATATCACCTTCTTTCTCTACTTTTCACCTCCAAAAAGAATCTCCTCATCGCATTCTTCAGCGGCAGGATCCCCCATCATCAAATATCTTCATCAAACTCTATTCTTTTTTCTTAAAGCGATGGCCCAGTGCATCCATCATTAGCGGTCATGGAAGCTAGCATCTGCAGATGTCACCGTTCGAGAGCGAGATTAGAGCCAAAAAAAAAAAACAAAAAAAACAAAAACAAAAAGGAAAAACCTAAAATGTTACGAGCAGCCTCTCAATCAATCCCTCTCGATATTCGAGTTTTGCTAAATCAGTTTGATAATCAAATAAATGAGAGACAGACGACAATTTTCTCGTCTTGAAGCACTTGAACGTTAGCATACGCACACCCCCTCCCCCCGCCCCTAAAAAGAAACCCCTTACGTCGTAACTCTGCCGAGAGCTTCGGAATCCGCTCAGCTGCCGGGTGAGGTGTATATATTTCCTCTTCAAAGACGATTCTGGAGATGATTTTTGCTTCGATGCCGTTACGCTTGCACGATCACATGGAACGCTATCCTTTCTAACCTTTTGAGAAGGTACGTCCCGGATTTTTGCCGCTGCTTGAGCTTCTGCGCAGGTATCACTGCTCGGTATGAGGCCGGCAAGTTTGCCAGTCTCGTGGTGATTTAGAAAGTTCCATGGGAAAGCAACACGGTTCTGGCTACTTCCAAAGCTCAAGTATTTTGAATCAGTGCAGGCCATGTTAGAAATGCTAACATACAAGGCCTGCAAAGAGAGTATGCCATCTCGATCCACCGTTTGTCTCAGGGAAGATCAGAACGTTCGGGAATCGAGGCGGCAATAGCAGGGCGATGAACTGCTCACGTCGGTTATCGCAATTTCGAGTCCGGACCTCAAGAGCCTCCCCAAACAAAGAAGCCAGGCCTTTCAATTACCCCTGCTCAGCATCTCAGTCCATCCGCCAACCATTCAGAGTGTTATGTGCGTCTGTACCCGTGGCAAAGTCGGTCAGAAACCCCAAATGTCGATGCCAGAGGTCCAGAATGTGGAGGAAGAAGCAGGCAGTCTCCCAGATCTTCAAACGTAGCTCGACGATCAAGTTCGGAAAGAGAGTGAATGGTTGGGATTAGCTCCATCCAAGAAGGATCTCTGGGTTGAAGTTCGGAACTTTCTCGTAGAGGCGAGAGAGGCGAGGGGGGAAAGCTTAATGCTTAGTATTGGGGAATTGTATCTCGGGGGCTGGACCTGACTTTCTCAGGTGCTTGGGTCGCTATGGCCAATACTATTGTGCCTTTTGATACGCTGCGCCTATAAGGCAGTCGCCGTATCTCGCGAGACCAGAAAGCTACAGGGTTGTGCGGCACTCAAAAGACGTGGTGCTCTTGTAGAATAATGTTGGTAGGGTGAGATAAAGACGAGATTTGATTATGGTTGTTGTATTTCTCAATGATTGCTATGGAGTTGAAGGAGGCGGTCCCTTATAAGGAAGCCACGTGGTCCTCCGTCCCCGTGATCTATTCACGTAGCGCCACTATCAAATCCCATTGCGAATGTCTGAGGCCAACCGCCGTTCCTTCCACTCTTGGCCAGCTGTTAGATCGTATTCCGATAAATAGTGCTTGGCGTTGAAAATGAGAATGCGTCTTATTGAGGACATGCTCGAATCACCCGAGACGGAAGGCACGACCGAGGAGCCGCATCAGGTGACTCGAAACACAGCTCGCCGATTGCATAAGCTTAGCACTATACCCAAGTCAATCTAGTAGAGTTTTCGGGTTTGTTGTTTCCGAGGCTCCGATAGACGTTGACCTTCTGCTCTGATTTGTCTTCCACAAGGCTACTTCAGTCAGGAGAGTCGGTACCAAAACCGACAACAGAGCTATAGCTAAATGGCATTTGAGTGTTTAATACCTGCACGCTGCCTAAGTATAAGAAGTTTCCAAAACACATAGGAAGAAGTTATGTCCACGGCTCTATCAAGGCTCTATTGGTTGGGGAGAATAAAGTCCGCCGCTGTTCAGCGTATATTTACTTCTACGAGACAAGACTATTGGTAATATGGACGCATGATACAGCCCATATGAGTATTTCAGCTCGCTCGCTAGCTCGCCCACCCATCGTCACCCCAGACTGGTCCTCCCGGAGGGGTGTACGGGTTGCTGGCCGAGACATCACGGTACTCGAGGAAGATCTATGGAATGTCAGTACACAATGCAATCGTCCTGTTTCGAATTCAACATACGGAAGTAGTATCGTCAGCCTTGTAAGCCCCAGGAAGCGCAATGCCTTCCGGGAGCTCGGTGCTTCCACTGCCAGTGATCGTGATCTGGTGGCAGCTGGGGTAGAACTGGGCCAAGCTGCCGTCCTTGTTCGTGCGCTGCAGGCCAAGGATCTCGTGTCTCAACAGGTACTCTCCGGGGGCGATGGTTGATGGGAGAGTGAGGGTGTATGTGCTATTCTGCGTGGTGAGTCTCTTGCTGGCCCTAGGAGAACACAGGGGGGTCAGCAATCGGCCATCTCGACAGGTTTCGGGAAAATGAGAAGGATGGGAAAAGGACAAGATATGGTTCCGAACCCTCATCCATCACTTACCATGGAACTTCCTCGTTTGGGTCGTAGCCGGCTTGGTCGATTTTGACCCAGACGTTGCCAACACTGCCGGAAAACTCACTGCATGGACCATTGCAATTGGCGAGGTAGGTCATCACTAGATGCTGTCAGTTGCGTTCCGTGGGAGATGTTCTCGGTGGGCTTACTTGGCCCCGGGTGGTCACTCTGCCAATCCGTCCACATAAACTTGACTACACTTCCAGCGGCAACTTCAGCCGTAGCGCTAACTGGAACGTTGTTGCCGGACTCAAAGACGTTGCAGGTGATGGCATCCGTTTCGAAGGTTCCATCCGTGACTGGCCCGTTGTCGTCAAACTTGCGTGTGATCTTGTTGAGGTCTTCCTTCGAGGGATCCTTGTAAGGATTCCAGGTGCTGACGACGTTCTCACCGAGCCAGATCTGCTGGACAAAGCCATGCGCAGAGGCTAGAGCGAAGAGGGAGGGTAGAATAGCGGCGGTCTTCATCTTAAATGTATCGTAGAGCGGGAAAAGATAAGAGTCAAAACAAAAGAGGAAGTAGCTAGTACTGAAGAAGTGAATGAAGAACTAAGATGGCAGTTACCGGAACCGAAGCGAATGTGAACAAAACAGATGGGATGAAGAGACGAAAACGATGGAGTGAGAAAGTACGGCCATCGGCGTACCAGCTATATATGCGTACCAGCTATACATGCAGAGAACGCTGACGTCGTGTTTGCGTCTGGTGAATTGCCAAGAGGCCAAGGACATTTACATGGGACGACGTCGCCAATGCTCTGTTGGGGCATTTCGATATATGAAACGTCTTGTCACTTTCGATATCGCTTGTTATCCAGACTTCTTCACATTTTATCAGTGATGCGCGGGAACTTCGAGAGTGCGAATGTATCTTGTATTTATGGCGCTATGCATGGCCAAGCGTCTATCCACTTATGCCATCCCACCACTTGTGTTACCACAGAACGAAAACAATCGCATTAGGCGGCAACAGCAGCCTGGCTGCTAGCAACAGCAAGCATTGGCAGCACTAGCAGAATTGGCAGCAGCAGCAGTATCGGCAGCACCGGCAGAGCCACAGCTTGTGTCTTGCTGCCACCACCGTCACCTCCACCAGCTTTGCCTCCTATAAATAGGTTAGAGTCAATTTCAACGGCATCGTTCTCTCATATAGTACTTACTACGTGCCTCTCCTCTTTTCGCACACCTTGTGCTGCCACCGGCAATTGCCGCATTCCAGCATGGACGTGCCGTCAGGAGCACGAAAGGTTTTGCAGGTGCGGAAGGGGCCGCATCCGTATCGACTCCCTTCCCGGGGGGTGCACCTCTCGCACGCCGTCAGTTCCAACACTCCCTTCGCCTGGATTTTTCCGCCCTCGAAGCACTTTGCATGGTTGGTGCCGGCGGGGTGTGGTTGTAGAAGGACTGCCTGGCTCTGTGAAAGCTTCCAGTCAATCTCCTGCAGGATTGGACCAGTCATGTTCGCGGCGTGCCTCGAAGTGGTGAAGTTGCAGGCGTTCGTAGTGGTGAGGGACCATTGGGCAGCCTATAAGTACCTTGAGTCAGTAAGTATGCTCTGTCGAACTATACGAGTGGGACGGAGTGACTAACCATTGTGAGAGATTGAATGAAGACTGAGGCTATGTGAATGGATGAGTAACTTCCTGAGAGTATTTTAGTCGTCAATGGGTGTCGATGATGTCGAGATCGAAGTGTGAGTGAGTAGTTGGTGTTGAGAATAGAAGGAGGATATACTTCTCTAAAGCCAAACACCGATCTCGCGGTGGCACCAGTCCCGATTAGGCGGTCAATTACTGCTTTCGGTACTATCTAGAACTCCTATACACGTGTAAACAGCTCACAAATGTCAAGGGAGGGTCCAGTCGAGTGACTCACGCAGGTACTCGATCTATAAGAGTCCGAATGGACCTTCTGCAGTACTCCTGCCACTTAGCCTCATCTAGACTCGCCGCTCTTTGTTACCATTTACGGTTCCTTATTTGGGAGATTTAAGCTACAATGCTCAAGCTCAGTTTTGGGTCTGAGCAATGGTTCCTACGCAATGCCATTCATCGCATCCCCCGGACTCGAAGCCCAGCCGCTGCGGCCCGTGGAGTCTCCACAAGCGATTCCATGTGGTTTGGAATCTCTGATATTCAAAATTGAGTAAATATAAAGGATTGACAAGCTCTGGTGTATGTTTAGGAATGGGGTTGACGAGACTGTCTGCCTTAGGCCTTGAGGAGTCGAAACGACGTAAGTAGGACTTATACTTGCTGACTATTCTGCTGGGCCTAACAAAGATTCACCAGGAAGTTGAGCGGAGCTACGAGATCCTAATACTGTGATTCTTACTCCAGAAACTTGGGAGTGAATTGATATATGCTGAAGTGTCGAATTCTGTACATCTGCCTTTATTAAGATAACCGAAGATGTTTACCGAAGGTGTTTACCGAGAGATGAATTAAGCGACTTAGAGAAATAAAATCATAAGAGAAAACAGGTTCAAGTTAATTGGGAAGCTAAGCGCTTTAATTAAGGTACGGTATTTAATAATGATATTTGTAAAAAAGTCTAAGGTATCCCGTACTAGGCTTATAACATTTCAAAGTCAGCTTACTCCAAGTTATAGATTCTGTAAAAACAGTTCTCAGTTTAAGATAGATATAGATTGTATAGAATTTAACTCCTAGATATGCCTAAAAAAGGTTCTCTATATATTCTATTAATTGAAAAAGAAAGAGGAGCTGATAAAAAAATAAGGGTGAGTATTTCAAGAGCAAAGTCTATTCGATCTTCAAATGCGTACTACATCTGTACTACTTCTGAAAAGGGTAAACTTTGATAACACGAATGGGTATATTGATTTGCGCACGCTATCTACAACTGTCTAAAATTTTCTTTTGAAGGGAACCAAGCTTACGATATCCGTCTCTGAAACAACATCCATCACCACCAATGCATTGATACAGACTGGCAAATGATCTAGAACCAGAAGTTCCAGTATTGCTTCCATTTCGGCCATTGCGCCTGTTCGGCTCTCTCAGCTGCCAACTCGGCTTTGAAGGCATCAAGATCAAGTTCCCGGCGACCTTCATCCACATTGATGTCGGCGATCCTGACACCAAAAGACCACTGTCTGTAGAAGAGCTTGTATCCGACGAAGAACAGGAGGACAATCGGAGCGGCGAGATACGACTGGAAGAAGACCTCGGCGTCGGGCTTTCCCCCAATGGGCCACATGGCAACGTAGAACTGGGCGATGAGGCAGAGGACATTGAGAATCAGCCCGATCCACGAGCCGGTGGTGCCAAACATGGCCGCGAAGGGCAGGTCGTCGGTAGTGCGGCCAGCGCGCTTCCAAGCCTGGCGGAAGCGGATGTGGGCGAGGCAGATGGATCCCCAGGTGAAGAAGTTGGAGAGGCCGGAGATGGAGAGCAGCCAGTTGAAGATGGTTCCGCCCGACGAGGCCTCGTTGATATACGCGAGGCATCCAAAGAGGAGGGCAACGATCATGACCACCCAGGGGCGTCCCTTCCTGTCGACCTTGGCCCCAATCGCGGGACCCATACCCGCAGCACAGAGGGCCTGGATAGTGCGGGTGGAGGCGAACGTGCAGGAGTTGGCGACGGAGAGCACGGAGATGGTAATCACGGCGTTGAAGATGGAAGGGAGCACCTTGATACCGGCGAGTTTGAAGGACAAGACGAACGGCGAGTAGCGGGTGTTTCCTCCAGAGGCAGACGAGAGGTCCCCATTGTCCGATGGGACGATGAGCCCGAGGATGAAGAGCGAGATAACGTAGAACAGGGCGATTCTCCAGAAGACCTGCTTCGTCGCCTTGGGAATCGACTTTCGCGGGTTTGCCGCCTCGGCTGCAGCCAGACCAACAAACTCGGTGCCACCGAATGCGAAAGACGCAGTGACAAACACGGAGCAGAAACCTTTGAAGCCGTTCTTGAAGGCACCAGGTGAGTGCCAATAGCGAGCACCGATATAGCCACGCGTATCCGTCGGAACGCCACCGCAATCTATGATCACACCCAGGATGATGAAGCCAATGATCGCCGCGATCTTGACGCAACCGAGGACAAATTCAACCTCGCCATATCCCTTGACACCAAAAATGTTGATCGCGCAGACCAAGACCAGGAAGATGGTGATCCAGACCCCGATGTCGATAGATGGGTTGCCAGATCCGTCTGCATCCGTCCAGAAAGCGATGGTGACACCAGCAACGGTCAATTCAAACGGCAGGACAATGAGCCAATTCATGCCGTAGTTCCATCCCATGGCAAATCCCCAAGCAGGATCAATGAAACGAATCGAGTAGTTGTAGAAGGATCCAGCGACCGGGTAGAGGGCTGGGGAAAGCATTAGTCTCTTTAAACTCCAGAGTCTCGGATCGAGAGCTGAGGGTCGGGGGAGGAGGAGGAGGGGAAGCCTACCAGCAAGCTCTCCAAGCGCGTTCACAGTAAACAGCAACATCATCCCGATGATGATGAAGTCGATGACCAGGATGCCAGGACCGCCCGAATTCAAAGCTTTCCCCGAGCCGACAAAAAGACCAGCGCCGATACTACCGCCAATCGCAATCATCTGCATATGTCGACCCTTCAAGTTGCGCTTCAATACTTGCTGCTCGCCCACCTCGATGTCGTCCTGGACTGGGGATTGCGTGCGTGGAGATCCGGACTGGACGTCCACCGACTTCTCGTTGTAACCCATAGTGGGATGATTATGCGTGTAGGAACACACAAGATTAAGAGGATAGATAAGTATATATACACCCGAGGAGAGTTGGTAGGTGACTCTGCACCCTAGAGGAGAGGAAAGAGGGAGTTTGATGGAAAGATCCAGAACGGACTGGGCTTCAAATCTGAAGACCGACGGGATATCAAGCTGGTTAAGTACTCTCAGAGTCTCTCTATCCCTCTCTCTCTCTCTCTCTCTCTCTCCCAAAATCAACATCTAGTCTGCTAGCACCGCTGTACCTCCCCAATCCGTCTATTCACCGGTGCCAAGTGGAGTCTAGACCAGGCCCTGCATGATAGTTCAGATACGCCGGCGCCGTCCGACTGGTTCTCGCCATCTTTCTGTCGTTCGGGCATGGCCTTTTTTGAAGATTCTCTCGCTAGACCCTACTGGTACCCAAGAAACATAAGCTCGGGCAAGACACACAAGCATGTCTTGGGGGTCTCTGGCGTGCAGGACACCCTCAATTTGTATCCACGATGATCCACTGATAAGGATAGCGCCCACCCCATTCGATACGTCGAGGCCAATTCAATCACATCTCAAGAAGTGAGTCCCCCAAGGCTTTACGGAGGGTAGGCAAATTTACATATTTATAAACAGGCGTTTTTAGCGAGCCACTCATCGAGTGTAACCGACAAAACAATAACAAAGGAATCGCAAATGGCATCGATGCGTATGCGTGACATCAACGAAATCATTTATTTACCAGACTTTCTCCACCTTCTGTCTCACCAGCTTCGAATGGATGTCTGCTCTGTAAAAAAAAAAAACTTACGATCAACAATTATTACTTTTACTCCGCACAGGGGAGAAAAATGAACCGACAGCTGAAACATCATACATGCTTCTGGAATGGAGACTAATCATTTGAGAGATTGATGGCGCGGATTGTAGTCGGGCCGGATCTATCAATGCCCAATCATTTTGCATTTTCAAGATATTGCTTCTTACTGTGGGGGGTCATGGGGAGCCTGGCAAGCTAGCATATTGTCGATGATGCTGCACAGGTGAGGCAAAGAAGGGAAGGGAGGCGAAGATAGGCCGTAGTCCCGCCAATTATCTGTCTAGAAGTACCAAATCTTCACTGTCATGGCTGTGCCGAGAATATACTTGTAACGACTCGGGATGAGGCGCAACTTGGCAGCGCTCAATTCGCATCCGCCTCCGCATCCGCATCCAAAAATGAGTGCCGCGACTCAGCGATGCCATGACTCGTACCAGTCGTAGTAGTACGTACAGTACGTAGTATTGATTTACGTCGGGCGGGTATACAAAACGTAATGCTTGGATCCTAGGGCCTCCCATAGGAGCGACGTGCTAAGTTGAGATTATACACCAAGTAATATCCAATCGAAAGTAAAAAAACCACGTTGGGGAAAAGCTTTCCTTTCATCAGCCCCGGGTTTCTGATCCCGCGGTATCGCAGACTCCTTATAAGCCCCTTCAAAGCATTTCAAAGAATTTGCATCGAGATGTCTCTCGGTGACTGTCGAATACGTGTGGCCTTGCGAGCGGCCTCGATCCGTATTAGAATAAATATCGTTCTCGTTGTCGTGGAGCTACTTCGTATAAAGGCTCGCGTTCTAGCCCTTACATAGAGCCGGTGTGTTTGCAGAGCGCTCTTTTGAAGGCGCTATACCGTGTTTTCGATCGGTCGAAGACTTAAAGGATGTAAGGAGGCCCACCTAAGCGAGCCGACGATTAAGCCTTTCCTATCCTATCTTGTCAGGCGGAATAAGGTTTATAGGACTGGTTACTGCAATGTGTATTGCAGGTCTGCTTTTGCGCAACATGTCTCTTACACCCGTTCCTTTTTTATCGCAAATCCTCTTGGTCTTTTCAGTTAGTACGCCCGTCAAGTATAAATCGTAGTCGGCGTGGTAATCGAGATGGAAAAAGGGAGGCTCGGATTTGCCGGTAAGGAAAAATCTCTTCGAAAAGACGCCGCATATCGATGGTCCGATTTCGGCTGTTCAGACTCTCTGCCGCAGGAGAGAGCTGACGGGTCGTTGAAGGTACCTCGTACAAGTAAAGAATCGTAGCCTCTTTAAGAATGAGTGTCGCGACTCGGGGATACCATGACTCGTAATATCTCTTGCCATATATATATAAACGGGCAAAATCATGTGCGTAAATTTAATAAAAATTGACTCTATTTCCAAGAGGCATTTTCGACATTGGGAACAGATATGCTAGCCGCACGAATAGAAATTCTGTGGCTAATATTAGTTAAATGAATATGATATTAAATAGAATTAGCTAAATAAATAAATCAAAAGAAAGGGATATGTATTTCTTCTTGCACTTACTTTTGTTTCAGTTCACTCTCTTCTTCCTTTGTTTAAGCTTATTCTGTGTCTTCAGCTCGCACTATCTGAAGACTTATAAGCATTTGAAACACGATTCTATTACTATGGGAATTTCTTTGCCCGATCTTTGCTAGCCTCAAGCTTTCTACTCACTGGAGCTCAAGCTGCCGGAGAAGGAAGAAAAAGTATCGCTTATCGAACAGTTTCGAAAGGAAGCTCCATATGATCTATAATTATTGAGCCCCGCAATTATAATATAAGCTTATATTAATTACGCGAGTTAAAGGCAGAAGCCGATGCTATTGATAAACACAATAGGCCTTCCAGAGATGAAAAAAAATATGATGAAGAAGTCGACGGGGTAAGGCAGATAGAGACTGGCTTTTACACGAGTGAGTTTGATTTATCTGCATCTACAGATGCTCACTCACTACGCGAAGCTAATGATCTGAATAGGAAACAGACCTGCGGGCGGGGACGGTGATGCTGGCGATTGGTATTGTGCCATCGAAGCGGACAGAGAAAAATTTGATACTGTCGGCAAGATATGGATTCCAGAATATTGGGAGAAGCCTGTCTGGGGTGAGATTAGTCAGGAAAAGCACTCGTGGAGTGGAAACGAAGAAGTCGTCTTCGACATATCAAGTCAATGATGCCAAACTCTGACCCCGAGGAGGTCTTGCAAGCGCTTTTCATATGTCTTATATTGAGAGACGACGGAGCTGCAGATGGTCATTCCAAGCATAATGCTAGGCAGCGATAAGTTGGGCTTATGGGCTATCTGCTATCCAACAAGAGAGGAGCTGAAACGATACTCGAGCGAAATCGTTGATTGGAAATGTTGGGTTATTACTGGATCACCTGAAGATCCACCTGAAATCTGGGTGATCAAAAACCAGAACCTTTATATGATGGAAGGCCTCGACTAATGGGGGATAAGGGGGAGGGCGGCCCAGGCGATTAAGTCTACACCTATAATCCGCCTCGGTTAAATTGGCGGAGACCGTACTAGCTTTGTAACATAATCAGAAGGGGGTGGCTCGTCAAAATAACAGTACAGCAATTTCCATTTGGCTTTCACTACCAAACCTCCACTTCATTTGTTGGTCCTTTTGCTCGTTTTCCTTTCATACATCTCATGAGCTCCGCTGATAATGGACATGCACCACCGAACGGCTACATGGTTTTCCAAAGCCTTTCTCTTTCTATCCGGGCCCAAGGGCGATAGGCCTTCCTAGGTCGGACATCCCGGCAGGTATTCTTACAACGTACTTATCAACATCGTTACGCCGCGGGTGAATGCCGGCCCGTATCTTAAGTCTTTCTACTATTGTATGAGTGACTTGCCTCCTTCCTCTGGTCCTCATGGATCTGAATTGTTGGCTGTTATTGAAGGTAATGACTATCTTTGGACTGATAAACGAGGCCGGTCAATCCGGGCTCATCTGATATTTTCTTGTCTGTACTGATTTCCTAGTCGCTTGGGGATTCGCCGGAGGCATGCAAGTCCTCGCGCGCCCGCAGGACTCAAGACTCAGGACCCGGGAATGGATGCATCATGCATGGGCTGGCTGCATGGACGGGCGAGCTTACCCGAGCGAAAAAAAACATGATGCGAGTCAACTAATGGTTAGTAGCAATTGCAGGAAGATTTGCAGCTGAAGTTCGCGCAGCAGCTCGCTCGTATTTGGAGCCAAGTGGTACGTAGGTGTTGCAAATGCGTTGAGATCAGAGTAGCAGTACTTATTCTACGCCTCTCCTGCAGCAAGTGGGTGGTAGGCTGAATAAGCGTCTCACGAAGCAACAGAATTCCATCTATGTAATCTATGTAATAATAGCAAAAGCAAAGATGCGACACGAGATCCGACGGCGTCAGTTTGTGCTCAGAACTTTCCTCTTGTCATCGACCTCCTCCCACAGCAATTTATACCTGGGCGCGCACAGCTGCTCGTGCCACATCACTCGGCGCAGTTCCCCCTTCCATGTCTCCCAGCTATCGATCCCTAGTTCTTCTGTCAACTGCACGAGATGTCCAGTGACCCAGCCGCGTTCAGGCATACTGGAAGCGGCGACAGCTCCAGCAGCAAAGAGCCACAGGGAAAGGACATTGGGCTTGAAGGATGGATGAGAAATGAGAATGCGAAGAGATGCTAGGAGTTGGTGCAAGAGCAGAGTAATGCTCAAGGTTCCGTCGGGTGGGAGCCCGCGCCAGGGAGTAAATACATGCAGCAGCAGTGCTAGGCGAGTGCATTCGGAGAGTTGCTGGGAGAAATCGACGCCATCCACATCTGCGACCGCCGTGTTGGAAGGTGCTTTTGCTTGAAGGTCTGCACGGCACAGGCTCAGCAAGTGCGAGAGCAGGGTACACATTCTTGTCAAGATGGCCAGCGAGGATGAGGCGGATGGGTATGCTTCTTGGGTCGGCACGAGGTGCGACAGATTTTGGATTGAAGTCAGCACCGATGCAATGTTGGGGTCGAGACCTAGGCCGGGGAGATCAATATCCAGAACGGCAGTGGGTGAGGGCTCCAGATCTGAGCAGTGTGACCGTACTTCTCGCAGCTCCGGCGGACATATGTGGAAGCCGTGGTCGTATGGGGCGAGTGGAGGCAAGACGCGATCGAACGCTGGGTATGGGACCTCATACATGGCTACGACGAAGATCCAGAAAGCCGAGTTCGCCACCATGGGGTTGGATTCTCGGATCGCGTTAATCCCACCCCTGAGGTCAATCATCCTCTTCAGACCGCCTATGTGCATCTTCAGCATCTTCAAATTGCCCCTTTCATGCTCAGAGGCTGCAAGTGCAGCCACGGCGCTGATAGTCTCGTCACTGACGCCTTTGCTGCCAGAGGCATCGCTCTCCACTCGTTCCCTGAGCAGCCGGATGCATTCGGCTTGCAAGTGTTGCGAGTTCACACCTAGCCACTGTTCCGCTTTTTGCTTGCAGCGCATCACGCTCAGGTTCAGCGTTGCGTGGAACAGCACAGGGTCCTTGAGAACAAGAGGAACATAGTAAGTAGCAGTGGGGTTGGTGGAAGATGCAGGTTGCCAAGGGAAGCCCTTGTAGCAGGACGTTTGGAGGTCTGTTACTTGAATTAGTCTCATGATTTCTTCGGTGCAAATGCTCCCAGGTTCTTGTGTCAAGGTAAGTGATAGCTCTCCTTGTATTCTTTGAGAGCCGGGAATGGGTTACGCACAGCATCTCAACAAGACGTCGACTCCCTTCACTTTGCTGGCCGGATACGTAAAGAAGGGATCGAACAGCTCGGCTCTTAGCGAGCCAGGTAATCCAAATGCAGACATCCAGTCCAGCTTCTCCCAGTCGCTAGGGCGGACTGCTCGTGAGTTCTGCACCCAAGGGCTCTCAGGAGACCCATGTGACGACAACGATGAAGGTAATGTTGACGCTGAGGCTGAGGCTGAGGCTGAGGCTGAGGATTTGGATGATGATGATGATGATGATGATGAAAAAGAATATTTCGAAGAAGCAGAAACAGAAGCAGTAATGCTGCCGCCTTGCGTCTCCAGCAACGGGACAGGGACTATACTTCGGTCCCTGCTTGCTGAGACAGGGAGGCGAGGCCGTCCTTGGTTGGGCGCTTGAGTAACCGGCTGCATACTAGTCAAAGACGACGTTGGTGATGTGGCAGCTTTGGATCCGGAGTTCGAGGTCGACGAGGTCGAAGTCGATGTTGAGGCTGATGTGTAGTCGCAGCTGGACATCGAGGGGAAGCGGCGGTTGCAAGGCCCACAGATCGGCTTCGTCTCATCACACTGTTTACATATACCTACGGCGTCAGTGGTTTACTTAAGCTTTAGCTGCTTGCGAAGTCAAAGTCGTGCATAGCTGGTTGCTGGCTGACCTTCAGTTTCCGCTCTTTGCACACTTTACACCCATTGCGGGATTTCGTGTGTGCTTTGCGAGAGTGCTGCTCCGAGGTCGGGAGCTTGATCACGCTGAACATGTTTACAGCTTCCTGCTCATGTTCGTCGATTTCGTTTCTTGCCTTGCCCAGATATTGTGCTCCAAGCCGAATGATGAAACTTATATGGATGGATGAATGAGTACGGAAGAACCTTCTTACTGTCGTTTAATCCTGATTCTGATTTTGACGACTTTCGGGGATAGGCGGTGATTTCTGGGCTTGCTTGGCGAAATAGACTTTTGAGCTTGAGGTACAGTAAGAACAGTAATAATCGTCGGCTCCGACGATTACTTCCCGAGTAAATTTACGACTCACGAGCCTTGGAAGAAGGCGGGAAAGCCGAAAAATTTGTCAATTAGCTACGGTAGTGGGAGAATCCTGATGTAAGTATTAAAAGCAAGCAACGCTCTTTGTTGTTGTTGTCGTTTATGTCGTTATTGTCGTTGTCGTTGTCTCTCTTGTGACCAGCTTGGATATGGCTGTCAAATTCACAGCGCTAGCTTTATCAAAGTAAAGCTTAGGCCAAAATAGGCCGAGGATGGGGATACTGGAGCCTCATGCCGGAAGCTGGTTGAACGGCAATCCTTCCAGATGAATGATAGAGTTTTCATACTTAAGATCCTCTAGTGATGAGATAGACAGAGATATATAGATATATCTACCTATAGGGGAATCTGACGAACTGATGGCATAGTGGTCGAGAGCTCCTCTTGGATCTGGCTCGGACGGCTCGGCTCCCTTCTCTATTTAGGCCGGATCCGACCCTGTCAGGTTAGGAGGCTTTTTTGCGCAACACTATCACCAAAGGGGCAAGACTGCTACAGGGGAAGTGTGCACAGCTTTCGACTCGGCTCTCCGAATACTCAAGGAGCTCCATCTCACCAACTTCTCATACTAATCGGTCGGTCCGTGATCAGATCTTCCCACGCAGTTCCAAAGGATCCTTCACCACAGCCATGTCGACGATGAAGGCAGTCGTGATCCATGAGGCAGGTGGCCCTGAAGTCCTCAAGATCGAGCAGATCTCCATCCCAGTACCAAAGGCTGGCCAAGTGCGCATCCAGGTGAAAGCATTCGGCATCAATCGCTCTGAATTTTTTACCCGCCAGGGGCATTCTCCAAGTGTGACATTCCCGCGAGTTCTGGGAATCGAGGCCACCGGAATTGTGGATTCGTGTCCCGGGAACGAGTTCGAGAAAGGAGAGGTCGTAGCGACTGCCATGGGAGGGATGGGAAGAGCTTTTGACGGCGGGTATGCAGAGTACACTTGCGTGTCAGCCGGAAATGTCCAAGCTATCAAGACGGAGCTACCGTGGGAGACGCTTGGGGCCATGCCGGAAATGCTCCAGACCGCCTGGGGCTCGCTATTCAAGGGTTTGAGGCTGAGAAAAGGAGAGAGGCTTCTGGTCCGGGGGGGGACGTCGAGTGTTGGTCTCGCAGCGACGTCAATTGCAAAGAACCACGGTGCTTATGTCGCTTCCACCACTCGGAAAGCAGGTAGCGAGGCTATGCTCAAATCCGGGGGAGCAGATGAAGTGGTAATTGACGACGGGCTCATTGCGGACAAGATCCAGGAGAAGTTCGACAAAATATTGGATCTGATCGGTACAACCAGTATCAAAGACAGCCTGCATTGCGTAAAAGATGGAGGTACGGTATGCATGTCAGGTATTCTAGGAGGAGAGTGGAATATTGAGAGTTTCACTCCTATGGAGTATATTCCCACTGGTGTGAACTTGACGGCATATACTGGGGGCCCGAATGAGTTCATGGAGACGCCCTTAGAGGACCTTGCAAAGCAGGTAAAGGCTGGAACTCTCAAGTTACAGGTTGGGAGGGTGTTCAGGATCGATGAGATTGTGGAGGCGCATGGATTGATGGATGCAAATGGTGCAGGTGGGAAGATTGTTGTGTTGACTTAAGGCGCCTCTGCCTCTATCTGAACTCCAGTACTGCAAACGTGCTAATATCCAATTTTTTGTAATTAAACACAAATCATCAAAGGTTGCAATGCATAAAGCAGGCCTCGACTTGCCATGCATGGAGAGGGGATAGAGGAGAGGAGAGGAGAGGGTGCTGCAACTGCTTTGGCTGTAACCTTCTTATTTGGGGCCGGTAGTAGAAGAAGTCTATATGGACGAGACTTTCATGGCCGAGAGACTGCGAGCTTCCTGGTAGTATCTATTATACAGAGGATAAAGGTGCGCGAAGGCTGATTTTCAGAGGAGTAACAGAGCTATGATAAGTATTTAATATGTTTTAGGCAGGGTGGGTAGAGGAGCGCAAAACAGCACGCCAAGGATCAAGACAAAAAAGGCCATCAGCAGGCAACTTTCAATGTCATCTCAAACCATCATAGTTCTTGGAAATCCCCATAGTCCTTTGTATCATGCTTGGAACAAGATGCATCCAAGAGAAGCTCGTTGCGCTAAGAAGAACCATTCAATTGAACAAAAAAGCCGTTAGTGGGAATCCAGCGGCAAAGAGATCAAATGGGAACAGAGAGGTGACGAGGTATGGGTGATGGGTGAAGCGACCACGTAAACCATTGGATAATTCCTGCTTCATGAGGACAATTTCAAAATGCTACCAAGAACATCCGAGGGTCTCGGACTTAGTCTATGTGTGGGATCCAGAAAATGACTAGGCTGGAGTGAATTAGGCATGCCTGGGCTTAGTGTCTTAACATATTTTCAAGATGGTTAGTAGTATGGGATAGCCCACAAGACGAGCATTTCTTTTGGGTCCGGCGGTGGCAGCTAAACAAGCGTAGTATAAACCCCAAGCAAACCGGCGTCGTCACGATTTACAACATCGATACTAATCCCTTTCTCCAAGATCCTGCACAAAGCGCTGTCAATTTGATCAGTCACGGCGCTAACTCACCTACTGGCTTATAATAAACGATTTCCCAGCATCTCTCTTCGAAAATCAAAACCATATATCAGTATCACTGGCGACTCTCGTCAATATGGGGCCCACGACTATTTACAAACGCCATTTTTATTCCAACAAGAATGTCGAGTTTTCTTCATCCGCAGAGCTCGAGAGGAAATACTCGATACCGTTCAGCTTATCGCCTTCCTCACAAAAATCCGGGATCAGCTCTAGGTCGTCTTCTTCCGCTTCCCAATCACAGCTCCTAATCCGTCCCTCAGATACGCCTCAATGCACGTGGTCGTCTCAGCAGTGTAAGGCGTGGCTCTACGAAATATGCGTAAGTTTAGGGAAAATAAAAATAGAGGATGCAGAAATTGTGACGGAGAAGTTCCCAGGGACTGGCTCTATCCTATATGATATGGATAGGGGGGACTGGATCATGTTGCTCGGCCGTTACAATGGGTTGGGCGTCTACAGCATATTGCTCAAAGTCCATGGACACAATGGGGCGGCACTGGAAAGAGAGAGGGTTCGTGTAGCTGAGGGAAGCACGAAGAGCAAGTGGAGAAAGACAAAAGTCAAGCCGCCAAGGATGTGAAGTTGTTGTCTTCCCAAAGTCAGATCGACAAGGTGGACTCTGAGACTAACGCAGCTTCTCAGCCGGTGGAATCTATACTAGAGCACTTTCCTACGCCGCCCGCAGTTCCAAACTTCTGCATAACAAAATATTGGAAGGCAGATGAGTACTGGGGGAGAGATGACTCTCCATCTCCAGGCCTACCATCACTATAAGCGAATGCTTTCAGCGATACATCCCAGCGGAACAAACAATTCACAGTAAGAAAGTTTCTATACAGCATACAAAGCAGGATCATCAATCTTCTTGGACAAGACAAATAACATACCGCAATGCCTTGGCTTTGGAACCATTCCTTTGGCAGAGAAGTCATGCTGCTACCCACGATTCTTATTCTCTCCATTCATAAACTTACTTACGCGATTAGGCTCTTTGTGGTCTTATGTTTCTCAAAATACTCATCCCTGGAAAGTCACTTCAGGCACGACTCTAGGGAGAAGCAGCGACGACGACGAAATACCAATCTAATCGCAGCTTTCGATTCTTTGCGGCTGCAGCATATTCGGATATCTAGCAGTACTCTGCCTATAAAACGGATCGGTACGTCGTGATATCTTTGGCAATGTCGGAGGTCTTTTAAAGTTCTAGCCCGCAGCATTATAGTACGTAGTACGTAGTAGCTGACTTGCGCCGGGACGCTATGACCCCTCCTCCTTTTCCCTCGCCGAGCGAACTTAGAGAGGATGGAGATGTACACCACGAGACAGATCAAGGCGCTGCTATCGAAGAAGGTTGCAGAGAAGCCAGCTGCAATCAAAGCCAACATGTTCAGCATCTCCTCGTGGTCGAGGACGTAGAAGAGGACTGAGTTACGATCAGAAGCGGCAATTCAAGCACAACTCTGGTACCGAGCTTGGACGTTGAGCCTCTGGACTGTTCAGATGGAGGAGGGCAATTCGACAAAGGTAGGAAGGCTTTGGGAGCGGTTGTCTTGTTAGTATCATTGTTGGGCGTGGCTGGTGTGGTTTGGCTCCTGTGGAGGGAACGGAGAATCGACTAAGCAAGAGAATATAGTCGATTTGCAGAGGCTTATGAGCGGGGATAGAAAAGGTATCCATGTTAAGATGGACGGTATAGGAGGAGCCTTTGAAAGATATATAAAAAGATATAAGTTATATACAGCTTGTAAAGCACGTCTCCACACCCGAGCTGGAACTTTCGAAGACAAGAGTCTCGAGACAGCTCAGGCGCACGGCCACACGATGTTCCGTTCCACCGCGGCTAGTACTACTTCCCCTATTACAGCCACCAACATCCGCCCACAATTATCGAGCGTCGGCGCCACTCCTACTCAAGGCCAGGGCCTTCACCATGAAGGCCAAACCAACTCATCGCTACAGGATCTGTGGAACTCCATCGCGACTTGGATGTCTCACCTGCAAGTAAGTGACAACGAAGCTACACACTCGGATCGGAGAGGCGACGGGACCCTGCATGGTACTGTGAGGTGAGAACTTAACTAACCGTCGTGTATGTAGAATCCGGAGAGTCAAATGTGGAGAAGAGAAGCCGTTCTGTAAGAGATGTACCTCCACGGGCAGAAAATGCGACGGCTATGCCAGCCCGGCAGATGCCTCCTCTGTACACAAGCCTGTACCAGCAGCACCAGCAGCAGCAGCAGCATCAGCATCAGCATCGGCATCAGCATCAGCATCAGCATCTGCACCTGCACCTGCACCAAGCCGACCCCTCGCTCCGGTCGAAGATCCCGAGGAGCAACGTCTTCTCTATTTCTTTAGCACACACAGCGCCCCAAGCCTCTCCGGATATTTCTCAACCGACTTCTGGGAGCGGAGGGTTGTACAGAGCAGCCGTGAAGAGCCGTCAATCCGGCATGCCGTCATTGCAATTGCAGCAATGCATCAGGAGTTCAACGAGAGGCGGCGCAATTTTGGGATGCGCGACACGTCACTTCTCCAGACTTTTGCTTTCCGGCAATATACGAAAGCAATCAGCTGTCTGCATTATTTGATGACGACGAAGATGCCGCCCTTGGATTTGACTTTGACAAATTGCATTCTGTTCGCATCAATCGATTGTCTTCTCGGTAATCAGTAAGTGCCCCTATTCCAGCCGCATCCGTTCGATGGAAAATTGTAGAAGCTGATCATTTGGGAATCTTTCTCTCTTCGCTAGAATCTCTTCGTCAATTTCTGTGCTAATGAATTCTACAGCTCATCAGCGATAATACATCTGAAGGCCGGATTGAGGATACTCGCGGATATCAAAACACACAAGACGGAGAGGGGAATTATGGCAGACGAATGGGAACAGGAATTCACTCCCCCGCTTCTGGCTCTAGGGGTACAAACAGCTACTTTCATTAATCCGGCTCTGCAGAAAGAGAGGGCCTCTCTCTGGGTCGCTCTTAAGCGCGTTGGAAAGTTTCCACCTCCGACCGCGTTTTACTCGCTTGATACAGCGCGTCGCTCAATTGATTTAATTTCAGCAACTGTAATGGCTCACCGAACATCTACCGAGTTACAGCCGAGAATCCTCGAAGATAAACCCCCAGACCCCGCTGTGCAAGGTCGATTACATAACGAAGCGTTAGATGCATGGACAAGAGGCTTAAACAAGTTTATTGTGGATTTTGCCGCAGGCGAATCTCCTACCAGCAGAACGATGTGTGGCGCCTCGCTCCTGAAAGTCCACTCGCTGGTTGTCTCTATCGTGATCGGGAAACCAGAGGAAGCTGATGCTAAATTCGACCATTTAATCACCCTTTGCGATTTTCTCGAATCGGCGAGGACGACTTCCGGCGCAGACCTTACGTTTTCGACCGACCAAAGAGTCATTGCACCTCTATTTTTCACGGCGCTGAGGGCCCCAAATCCTTCTATCAAACGACGAGCAATTGAGCTTCTGGCGCGAGCGCCAGCACGTGAAGGTATGTGGGATGCTGAGGATGCCATTCGCGTGGCGGATGGTTCGCACAGCGATATACAGAACGTGGGAGGCTTTGTTCTGAATGCGATTCTACCGGATGTCATCCCACAAAGTGAGATCAAGATATGGAATGATATTGCATCGCGGTTAAAGAGCCGGATGACTTGGCCCTTTGGAGAGACAGACCCGGGTCAGAGTCCACAATCCGCGACTTCGCCTCGGAGCGAGTCATCATTTACGACAACAGCTACCGTGTAATCGCTATAGACTTATCAGCAGCGTTATGTGATACCGTGGTAGCACGGTGAATTGATTGTCTACCATGATAGTACTTTTGACGATAAATCACGGATGAACAACGAAGATGCCAATCCACGCTTTTCCGATGGATTTTATTGCATCTCGCTTCCCATTATTCTACGCCTGTGTCTGAATAGGAATATAAAGTCAGCTTTGTACGGTGACCACCTCTTTCGGATATGCCGAGCAGCAGTTGACATCCTTCCTCGGCAAAGATCTCATAAGCAACTCCCATCGACTATTTTGGCTCAAATTTAAATCTACTGCCACCACGCTTCAAATGCCAGCCTACCTTAGAGCTTGATGAAGATCACGCTATGCGAGGATGAAGGCCTGTTGACATAGCTTTTCAACGGTTTTTCAAGACTTTTGGCCGTTGGTAACCCGGCATTCGTTGGACTACGAGTGACACTGGCTCGGGTTGAGAGGAATGGGCACTGGGGAATCACTCCTCAACGCTCGAACATTGATCATGATTTGCACCTTGGCCTGGGGTGGTCAAGTCCAGGGTCATGTTCAGGTGCTCCTACACATACAAGTGCGGAGCAGTCGTGTCTTATAATTAAGAAAAAGGGATCTATCTGATATGATGTCACTTTTCTCTTTTCCAAACGTTCAGGGACTAATGGTCTCTGCCAATTGATACTGGCTGGCAATGGATTGAGAGTTATGATTCCAGGAACTGGTCAAGATATATGGTTTATGGTAACAATGATGTCCAGTGTCGAGATCTTGCTTACTCCGCCTCATGAGGGTAACGTATATAATTGCCACCCAGCATAATATATTTCTACTATCTAGGAATATTCTGGCCCCTCATTTTTTCGCAATAAAGGAGACAACTGGAATCTATCTATCTAGAGAGAATAATCTATCTGGCTTGAATATTTATGCATGGAAATTTACGAAGCTCACTTATTCGAAGCCATTTCGACCCTATCTAGAACTTCATCGGACTGAAACTCATTCCTTCCAACGTTATTCAATCTTCCGACCTCCTCATACCATAATATTGTTGTGTTGTGCAAAAGCAGACCTGCAATGCACATAGCAGTTCCCAGTATCAGAACCCTCCACCGCGCGCCTACGGTAATACCCAGCTCGAGTTTCACCCGCCACTCTGGGAAAGAATCCCGCTCATATTATCTCCTTCTCTCTCTCTCCAATTAATCAATCGACAGGTTTGACGCAACCCCCGCTCATCACCGCTGACCAGCGACCGACCCGAGGTTTCTCTCGCTTCAAACGGACGGCTGATAGCCAGCTAGCTAGCAGCTGGCTCTCCTCGGGGAGCTTTCATGCTTGATACTTACCTACCTATGTGGTAGCGCGGCGCGCGAGAGAGGTGACGGGCCCCGCTTTGCTCTTCGCGTTTCCTTCCTTGCGGGTGAGGTCGGACTGAGAGGGATGGTGGGGGGGGGGGGGGGGGGGTTTGGGTTGGGTTGAGAGGTTCTTGGGTGTATGGTTCTCTCGATGCAATATCGTATCTCGTATCTCTCTTCTGGCGGCGGATTCCGCTTGAAAAATTGAAAAAATTACAGCTGATGTTTTTCGCAGAGAAGGAGGTTCAAGGCATTGCTTTTCATGTCAAGCCGAGCTTGTGGGATGGAAATATGTTGTTATTTGTCCCTTGGCTGGCACGCGAAGAGGGGGTTTTTTTTTTGATGTATGTAATAGTGGGCCTTGACATCGCAACTTTTGGGGCCCTTCTCTAAAGTGGGCGAAAAAATTATGTCCCGCTTCAACGCTAAAAACCGCGAGGAACGTAGACACTTATA